AAAGAAGCGCAAGCAAAATAAGCGCAAGTAAAGACTAATTATCCATGCTATTGTAAAAAATTCAGTGCCCGTTTACAATTTGTTAATCATCCTGCACATGTACGGAACAGGGCTATTGAAGTACCGCCTGGTACGAGAAACTTTTGCCAGCCGGAGTTTACTAGAATTCCGTGTTATGCGGTTAGACATATTTATTGTTGAATGAGGGCAAATATCCTGTAATCGTTTACAACTTTTGAGCGGATAAGCAACATTTCCACAAATCTGCTCGCGACGAAACGCAAGACTTCGGAAGCTGTGATAGTACATCATCGTACATGTCGTACCTATTCCAATTATTATAACCTATTCAAGCATACGAAGAATGTGTGCGCGTAGCGAACGCAGCGAGCGCCTTAACGGGTGGGGTCCAGCGGTTCCGGGGTTCCTTAGGGCCCTGGCAGGGTGCCGGGGCAAAGCCCTTGGCAAGGGTCCGGGGCACGGAGCCCCCGGAAGTTCTTGAATTTTAGCAATTTAGAACTTTCAAGATGGCCGTTTCTCAGAGAATTGAAAACAAATTGAAATTGTAAGTGCAATATTTGTAAATTCTATGGTTATTTGTTTCTTTGTCTCCCAGAGGTTTAATAACACGCAACCCCCTCCCCCTCCCGCAACTACAGCACTGGAATCATCTTCCCCTGAAATTTTGATAAAACGTATATTTTACTGAGAACGCTCAAACTGTACAAAAAGTATGAGAAAAACGACCAGATTTGAACCAAAAAGTGCATATTTTCAACCCTTATACAAAATCAGGGAATATACTTCTGGTCGGGTCGCAGCAAAAAAAAACGAAGTGATGAAATTGAATTTTCCCCATTCAATTCCCGTAAAAATTCAATATCCCCACTCTCAATAGGTCTGTTCAAATTTTGAATAAAGCAAGGATTTAACTTTCGTGAGCAATGAAAAGACGTGATTTTGGGATTTTGAAAAAAAATCGTATATGGGGAATGCGTTCAAAATTAACCGTCTGATTTTCAGTAAAATAATGTCATTCTTGGAACGAGTTACAGACATTTTACAGTAGATGTATGTCACTTTTCATTTGTATAATAATACATTAGGAGAGTATGAATAGCGATGAAGCATTTGTAGATAAATATTCAGTATTTATTGTCTGTAAAATATTATATTTTTCCTCATTTTTCTCCAGAAAGTAGGGGGGATTATTGTACACGCCATCCCCACCTCAATAAGTGTATGGGAGGATATATCCCTCCATCCCCCCGTTATCTACGCCCCTGCACATGGATGGCGCTGCGGGCACAAGTGGTATTTTGATTGATATACGGCGATAAGCCTTTATGCATTTAATGGTTCAAATCACAGGCGTTTGTACTGTTTCAATAAACACAATTTGTATTTACTACCAAAGTCACAAAGTCTACAAACGTTTATGTATTAATTCTCTGTCGACTAATAATTACACGTAAATGCCGTTCAAATGATTTGTAACTCACCGCGCGCGCGCCACTAGCAATGCTCAATCTCACAGAAAGAAATCTGTGTATCCGTCTATAATTCTGTGTGTGTACGTGTGAGTGGCGTGCATGCGGTGAAATTGTGTGTTGAAGAGAAGCATGTAAACTGCATTTACGGGAAACTATCACCAATAATATGCGAATGAGTGTAGATAAAATTGAGACTAATAGTTAATATAATTCGTTATTTATTATTGAAACTGTCCAATTAATTGACTGTGGTGAAAATCTCCGAAAAGCGTGTGATGAATTTTTACTTATATCTGCAGATCGGGTAAACACATTACGGACAATGTTAAGGCCATGTTTGCAGTAGATTCTGATATCGGCATTATTGTATTAAAAGCATAATAATTGCTAGGTAAGTTGGAGTGAGCGAACATGGGATTTCTAATCATTTAGCCTTAATTTTACGCTCCTTCGTTTTTATTCTCTTCTGTTATTGTTGTTTTCGACATAATGATCGTCGTCGTTATCGTCGTCGCTATAGCTACCGTCGTATAAAGGATGCACGCACCGTGCAGTAGCCTTCCACCAATTTCAATACCTCGTTTCTTGAAATAATGGCTTTTTCTGAATTTTGTGTGTGGTAATATTCGGCACTAGAGTGCACTAATCAGCATTATAGGCCTACACGTAAGGGAGATGCCCTGTGGACGCTTAGAAGACATAAAAAATGTAATATATTAGACTTGTCGCGTAATTGCACCATTCTATCAAGTGACGTAGCGATGGCGACCGATCCGCCGTTGTTGTGTGTGTAACGGGATAGGAATACGTGCTGGAAATGTGCATCATTTAGCAAACAAACGTTTGGAGTGGAGTCACAATCGTGAACCTATGTTTATTTAGCATTAATAAAGTGTATGTTGTGTATGTACAGAAACTCGTAACTACGTTTCTCTGCCATGCGTATTTAAGTCTGCGGCCTATGGACGCCTTCTAATTTGGCAATATACTTAAACCAATTGTTGGACATGTACATGGTTTTAGATTTGTTACGTCTGATAATAAGACTTAAGAATTATTCACGTATACATGTGTTCTGAAACATATATAATCCATTCAGTGTATATAGAATATTTATGTTACCTAAGATCGTATAAGGTCTTTGGTTTTATTGTAGTGACCCTAAGGGTGACCGCTACTGGCATACTGGCTACTGGTACTGCTACTGGTATTGTGTTGAGATCATTTTTTGCTCCTACTGATAGGCAAGACGACGACGCAGTAGCTTAGTCGGATACCAGACTGAAACGCAATACTGATTATTTAGATATAGGTATGTGACGGAATACCTTTATTATATCTACTCATACACGATACAACACAATGAATATGTAGCTTACTCGTCCTTACATACATTGACGTTATATAGCTCCTATTTCTGAAAAATTGTCATATATATATATATAATACGTATATGGGGAATTATTGACAAACATAAATGATTTAATGATAGACACAAATGGTATTTAGTGACAGTCACAAATTCGAATTAATGTCTATCATATATTCTATTTAGTGACTATCATATATTCCATTTAGTGACAGTCATTAAATCAAAAAATTTGCACAGGGGAGAGATAGTGATCCGCTAGGGGACGGCTCTGATTGGCTAATTTTGTCTCTTATTTATTTTTATTATTTTTGGCTAATTTTGTCTCTTATTTATTTTTATTATTTTTGGCTAATTTTGTTTTATTTTAGAATTAGGGTTAGGGGTAGGGTTAGGGTTAGGATTAGGGTTAACTGATTTCTATATCCACAACACACTAATAACGCGCCATCTAGCGGATCACTATCTCTTCCCTGAGACCTACTATTAAATCGACAATCAGATACAACTTATTTTTTTTCTCAGCCAATCATAGGCATGGAATTATTGACAAACACTAAATGATTTAATAATAGACACTAAATACCATTGTGTCCTACCTCGCCTGCCTTATACGCAAGCCTACATATATAAGTATGTACATCTATATATCCATATATATATAGTATTTTAATATATATATAATTGGCGGTCGGTATGCGAGTTACGTTTGAATATAGACACTGTTAATATATCTACCATAATATATTGTATATTATTAATCTATTTAGACTAATATGAATTCGTGGCTCCATTATCGCCTTTGACGAAATTAAATATATGTGATATCTTAAGCGTAAAACAGTTACATGGCGAAAACATCTAGGATGTAATATAAACACACATCTTAAGGAACAGTAGCCTCTAGGGTTCTAGGGTTATTTTAAGCCTAATTTAGAGTTTATAATTGCGGCTACACTAAAAGTTTCATGGTTCAACTCACATTAGAATATTTTTTTTAAATTATGTTTTACAACGGTAACGAACTACAGTGTGTGACTAAACGACGGTGCGCCACTCAACAAGCGCACGATCTGAAAAGTTGCCGCAACAACGCACTTTTGCAGCCAAGGGCTACAGAGCCGAGGGCTATTTTCTTATTTATTCATTTAAAAGGCAAAAGGATTGTAATATCTTATAAACGACATATAGGTTTTCAAGTTAATAATATGGATAATTTGCCCTAAAATGAATACATCGTTTCGTTAAAATCAGGCATTTAGGTATAAATATTGTTGGCACGTTTTGTGATTAGTCCCTCGTCATTGTACACTGCAAAAATAAAATGCAAATACGCCAACTTTTGTGGGGTGTCAAGCACGTGCGCGGGTGATCAAATGGTGGCACGTTTAAGATTTCGTAGACGCTTGATGTGTAATAAATTAATTAAGTATCTGGTGGACAAATACATGTGGGGTATAGACGATGTTGTTATACAGTAGTAACGAGTTGTATGCCAGTAAAATCCTAGAGGCTACGTCCAGCTTTCAAGTGAACAGGCTACGTGCCAAATGCCATCTAACACTGCAGTCAGCACATTACCGCAGTTTAACTAAGGTCTTGCTCCACGTTCGGCTGAGATGGGTTATACAGTGGGACGTGGCACAACCAAATAGTTTCCCTCACTGCTAGACGAAAATCTTTGTACTTGTAGAAGTAGAATGATTGGATTCATTAGTGAATTAAAGTAGAATGGCATTTACTCGAATGAAAACGAAGTGTTCGAAGTTGGAAACGGGAAAGCTGTGGATTAAGATGAAGTGAGAGAACGTGCGGTGTAACAGAAGTAAGAACAGTGCCGACAACTGTAAGTAGATCTTGGACATCTTCAGCGTAGCGTGGAAAGAGGACATGTCCTTCTGCTCCTCAGCTGATGCTGCGGCCATCCTTCGTCGTGGTGGTCCCAGACAATCCTTGCGATGACGACGTAGCAGTAAGTCATGAAGATAAACAGAATAATATAATGACTGGAAAGACTAAGAAACGAATCCAAGGCAAAAGTTCTAGGTCAATGACGCAGAATTGAAGGCGCTCCCAGGATAAGATAACTGATGGACTGCTGGCGATCCAATCACAATCGCGTACGTCGTCCGATAAAGTTATGAGAACAGCTCAGTGCGAGCAGGAGTCATCAGCTGGTTGTAGCGTAACGGATACACGATGGCCACGTATCTGTTGATCGTACAGAGTGCAATATCCATCAACGACAGCTGAAAAAGCGTCATTGCAAAGCCCGTAAACACGGCGCAACGCGGCATCGTGTCACGGCGTAGGACTCCTGTCCAGAGTGTACTGCCGAGTGCGAAGTCACAGCAGGCCAGATTAGCGATCGTCATGTTTGCTGCTGTTCTCAGTCGGTGAATCTTTGCTATAACGATAATCACAAGACCATTGCCTACGGCTGTAAATAGCGAAACCAGTACAAACAGTGGAACGTTTAGTGATCTAGTATGTATTTTAATAGCAGTGATATTTGCGTCGTCAGAGTAATCCTCATCAGCGTTGTTCCGGTGACTGCTTATTGTCAGGTTGCTCTCATTTGAAAATAAAGTCACGTCCATCGTCGATGCGCGAAGATTAAAAATAGTATACGTTTCTGTGAGTTACGCTGCTGTCTTCGGATCTTCGTGCGACTAGATGTTATGTAAATTGACGATGGCGACGCTAGAGACTGCCTAGCTAGCATCATGCATGTTGTTATATACTTCTGTTTGCGCGCGCGCATCAGCTTTTTTCTTACCGTGTGTCGATAAAAACCTATAATCTGAACCAATCACAGGCTGCCGTTTCCCTCTACCACTGAATACAACCTGAGCTTCTATGTCTCAATCAGGCAGAAGTACTTGATGTGTTTCATGAAGTGTGTAAAACCAACAATTCGTTTTCGCACATTAAGTACACTACTAAAAGAAATAAAAGGTTCTTGAATTCTTAACCAATACGGATGTTTTATAAACAAAATAAAAGTACTAAACATTTAATATGTATGCGTGTAGATTTAATATGTACGTAGGTAGTTAATTTAAATTATTACACGCGCCGAAATTGATATAATTCAGTTATGCATGTGACGCAACTTTCTGTTTCCATTAGAGAAAACAGAAAAAGTGATGCAAGATGCAGCAAATTAACCATATAGAAGGAATACAACCGTAAAAGCGGTTATACTGTATAAAACTGTTCCTGCTGCTGTTCGCGGCAACGTAATCCCCATATCACCAAATTGCAACCGGCAGTATTCATTTTAACAAAAATATTACTCTTTCTCACAATGGAGTTCTACAACATATACTTATCACACTTAGAAAACGTCGCATGAGCCACTACAACAAATAGCTGTCTTATCATCTGGTCAGACATATACATCGCAATACAACTGATTGCGCGTGTACGAGCTATGTTTAGCCTAGTATTTGATACCGCATGAAACCAGTTAATCATCTAAAGCCTAGCGTAGACTTGCGACTTTTTCATGCAATTCATGCTAATTTGATGATAGAATCGCAGTCGAAATTGCTATGAAGCGTCTGCGAAAACGTGCAACTGCAATCCGTAGCGATTCTGGTCGCTTGCAACGAGTTGCAAGAAATCTAACTGATTTTATTTTCAGCAACTCGTCGCTCGCAATCGCTCCGAAATCGCTTCGAAATCGCACCTGTGCGGGTAGACA